GTTCTCCATCAGGTCGGCAGTCGTGGGTGGTGCCGACCGCTCCATGCCATCACTTGGCTGGTTACGTCGTGTTCCGTAGTAGCTACTGTTCAACGCGTCTGTTCGATCTGTGCTGCCTGAAACTGTGCCCACGCCCCTTCGCCTTGGACAATTTTGTTGTTAATCCACTCTAGAGCTGGGCCTCGTAATAGTGTTGCTGCGAGCCGTATGCGCATCGCGTCTTGGGTGAATGTTGTTGGGTGCAAATAATTATTTTTGCACGTCAACCAGCCGTCTGCGTTGCATTTTGCATTTTGTGTGTGTGCGCATTTTTCATTCTCATCTTGCGATGTTTTGTGCGCATTTGTTCTTGCATTTTGTGTGTTTCGTTTTCATTCGTAATTGCATTTTGTGTTTGTGCATTTTCAGTCTCGTTTTCACTGTTCCCATGAAGTGCTCAAATGAGGCTCACATGATGCGCTCAAATGAGGCTCACATGATGCCCTCAAATAAGGCTCACATGATGCGCTCAAATGAGGCTCACATGGTGCGCTCAAATGAGACTCCCACGAAGTCTCAAATGAGGCCCTCATGAAACTCAAATGAGTTCTCATGAAAGTCACATGAGAAATATTTAATGCGAGGCTCATATGGGCAAGCTTCGAATGATTTATGCGAGGCTCATCGAAGTTCCATATGCCTCGAATATTTCATACGAGGCTTATGTGAGTGAGTGGTGTGCAAGGGGGCTCAAAATTTTGACTGGTCAGAGGGGTGCTGTTTGACAGTTTTCGCGCGAGTCAAAGGGTGCAAAAATCAGGACTGCGTGTGGGTCCTGATACGCGCGTGTGACCCCTCAGGGCTCAGGCGTGTGCCGCGTCTTGTTGCGCGTGCACTGTACTGCACGATCGCAACAAGATAGGGCCCATTTCGGCCCTGTCCCGTACTGTACGCGCGCATGATTTCGATCATGACGCGCTGTACAGCATGACCGAGAAAAATCTCGGTCGTGCGTGTGGCACGAAGGGTGTGTGAAGAAATGAGGAAGGAATGAATGAACTAGCAAGCAGGTGGGTACAAGTAGGAAAACCTAAAAGTGTTGTACCCCATATTGTCTACCCCACTACAGCCTACATAGACTATAGCATATGAGTTTGACACACCCCCATAGGCAAAGTGGGGGAGAACAAGAGGTCACAACACCAGTCAATCAAAGCAAAGCAAGCTCAGGGTGGATCACAACGTCACCACACAGTCCGAGCACAAGAGCAAGGCCACAAGGCCAGTTCACATGCAAGATCATATATAAAGGTAAACAAGCAAGTGCAGGTATAGAAAGATCACAGTACAAGCAAGGTCAAGAAGTGAGCAAGTGAGGCCAAGTAGGCACAAGACCTAGCATCGTACAGAAGCGCTGATGATCACAAGGCGGAAGTGCCTTGGTAAAGATATCAGCAGTGTTGGCCTCAGAGGCCACGTAAGCAAGGCGCAGTTGACCACGCTGCTGCAGCTCACGAGCAAGGAAGTAGCGAAGAGCAATGTGCTTCGTTCTGTGCTCCAGTCTGTGCTCCCGACACAAGGCCAGCATGGCCTTGTTGTCTACGTACAGAACTGGAGGAGAACGAGGCGGCTCTCCTAGGTCAGTCAGCAGGTAGGTGAGCCAGCGTAGCTCCTGTGCAGCCATGGCCCCCGCGTAGATCTCAGCCTCACAGCTGGAGCCGAGAACAGAAGACGAGCGGGTAGACCGCCACGAAACAGAGCCGGAGCCAAGGCTGAAGGTGTAACCCTGTGACGACCGCTGCGTAGCCTGGTCGTCAGCCCAAGAAGCGTCTGCGTGACCTGTGAGGACCACTGGACGTCGCCCTCCAAGCACTAGCCCCATGCCCGACGTACTGCACAAGTAGCGCAACACCCTCTTCGCTGCAGCATCACAAAAACCCTATGCCAAGTTTGGACGAATTTTGATTTCGATTGTCTTCGCGTAAAAAAATCCGGAGCCAATTTGGACCGACGGTTGGAGTCATTTGATAGGAGCTCCGAGACACATCTCGCGACAAGGTTTGGCTCGGTTCAAGTTCCAATTTGGCACGCGATCTTTTCCGGATGACATTCGGGCGCAATCCGTTTTGTTGCAGATTCGTGACCAAATTATTCAAAACTAAATTCTGTTTTTGTTCAATTTGGATATTGAGGATTTCAAAATTGCATTTATTATTGCGGTTTACAAGAACCATTATTCAGCATTCTAGCAACAAGCAGTCTTAACACCAGGTCAAATAGCCTACGCACTGGCGGGCCTTGAAAGCGCCCGGTGGGCAAGGACGACATCTCCAAGGTCGCCGTCGTCGATGAGGAACTTGTTCGGAAAGACGAACGCACCCATAGCCGGATGGTGGGGGATCCTCCGCTCCACGACAGAAAAATGGATCATCTGTTTGTCCTTTTCGCACCACTCCTGTTAGTCTGGCCTGTTCTGCTCCGGCTGGCTACTGATTCGCTTGCGACGCTTATCCTGCAGAAGGGGCCATTCGATCTGCAATGTGGTGTAGGGTTGGGTGGATGGTTTATGAGGAGGGTAGGTTACGGGTAAATGAGGCAACTGAAAGCGGTGATGCAGTCGTCACTATCTACGTAACTGCAAAGGCCTAATCGACCAGGGTTTTAGCTGAAGTACAGGCAAGGGGTTAAGGGGATGAGGCATGGGGGTACAAACACATATCTACATCCTTACCGAAAACAGGCCCCATGCCACCATGCGGCTCTTGAACTAGGTGAACACCGCCCCGCCCCTCTTGAAGGAGAGCTTGAACGCATAAGCGAACAAGGGGTTGCTGAAGGGTGTCCCGGTGGCCTTGTCAAAGTGCCAGTTGAGGGCCCACTGTTCTGCTTTTTGGCAGGGAGGGTATGGGTTGGAAAGGGTTTTGTAGAGAAATCAAATGGGGGGATGAGAGTCAGGGTGAGCCACATCGCACGGTGATATGTAGCTGCCAAGGGGCATATGGTAGGGCATATTGTGTTTTCGAGTTGCACTGCACATACCATCCCTGTACTCGGCTAGGAGTTGATCGTCGTCGAACCAGGTCGTTGGGTGTAGCTCAGTGGGCAGGCTATCCACGAGATGGCTGTAATCGGCAAGGCCCATGCCGGTGTATGCTGCTGGCCTGAGGGTGGAGTTGATAGTTGACCTTGTTGAGGACAGCTGGTGGTTGAAGACTCCCATGGTTGACTTGTCATTGTGCAACCACAGCAGCTTCATTGCCTCGAGCCCTTCTGCAGACAAGTGGACAGAGAACGCTTCGAACACTTCCTCCGGTGCAGGGTAGTACTGTATTTTCTCCGGCGGGTTCAGAAACATGAGCTGAGAGCACACTAAGTAGGCTTTGTTCTGCGCAGGGGTGTAAGGTATACAACACGACATGGAAGAGAGAAACCAGCAGTTATGAGGGTGGCCGCGTGACCATGGGATGGTGACTAGCAACACTGTTTGAACTTGCCACGTCACCCCCCACCCACCTGACACGCGTCGTCTCGTCACGCGCCGCTCCCGTGTACCATTCCAAACCGCCACGTCAGCCCCAACCCTCACATTCTGCCACGTCACACCCTTTTGCATCCGCCAACAACCCGCCCTACTTGCCACGTCACACCCCCCACCAAGAGCCACGTCACCCCCCACCCACCTGAGACGCCTCGCTTCGTCATGCGCCGCTCACGTGTACCCTTTTAGGGTGCCACGTCATCCCCAACCCTCACCTTCCGCCACGTCACACCCACCTGCATCTGTCACGTCATCCCCCACCCTCACCTTCCGCCACGTCACACCCTCCTGCATCCGCCACGTCCACCAACCAGCCCCACGTGCCACGTCACACCCTCCCACCCCATGCCACGTCACCCCCCACCCACCTGACACGCGTCGCCTCGTCACGCGCCGCTCCCGTGTACCATTCCAAACCGCCACGTCAGCCCCAACCCTCACATTCTGCCACGTCACACCCTTTTGCATCCGCCAACAACCCGCCCTACTTGCCACGTCACACCCCCCACCAAGAGCCACGTCACCCCCCACCCACCTGAAACGCCTCGCGCCGTCATGCGGCACTCCCTTGCACCCTTTCACACCGCCACGTCATATCCCAAACCCTCACCTTTTGCCACGTCACACCCAACCCGCATCCGCCACGTCCACCAACAACCCGCGCCACTTGCCACGTCACACCCACCCACCCCATGCCACGTCACCCCCCACCCACCTGATACGCGTCGCCTCGTCACGCGCCGCTCCCGTGTTCCCTTCGAAACCGCCACGTCAGCCCCAACCCCGCCCTTGTTGCCACGTCAACCCCAACCCTCCCCATGTGGCCCGCCACATACCGGGAATGGGTTTGTCTCCTGCAACACTAGCACTCGTGCCTTGTCCACGGCGCTCATCGGCGGCGGGGTACCAGCCATAGGCAGGGCTGCCGACCCGCCGGCATAGCTGGCAGGTACTCCACGACGCAGGCCGAGCTGTGCAAACATGGCGTACATCTCAGACCGCAGCGCCTGGAACTCCTCCCGTGTAACAAACTGCTCGTGCTCCGCACTTTCACCTAGGGCACCCATGAGCGGAGGAAAAGGGTGTGAAGAATCCCCCCTCTGGCCAAGGGGATCAACGTCTTCTGCAGCAGTCCCGTGTGCCCTCACACTATCACGCTGGCGGGAAAAGGGGAGCTCAGGGAAGGGATTGGCATAACTTCCTGCCTGATGCCCGCGCGAAGGATCGGCGAGAGGGGAGACCGCCCTGCCCCGGACAGGAGAAGCGTGGAGTTGCCGAAATTGGTACGAGGGTGAGGCGAGTGGGGACTGCGTGACGGGGGCGGGTGGAGGGGATTCGAATTCCTCTCCTCTTGGCGCGCCTGGTGCCGTCGCAGCGACTTTGCTCGGGCCGGCCCATGGCGTGTAGTACCTTGGTGCTCCGGAGGAGAGCGGTGTAACACTCGCTCTTCCGGCAGCCTTCGTTAGATGCATTCGTTGCACGCTTACGGGCGGCCCAATGCCTGTAACGCGAGGGGCTGAGATGTAGAGGGAGCCAGAAAAAAAAATTAGAGTCGATCGGTTTCAAGGCGGGGCCAGACATGCATGCATATTCAGAAAGGTTTGAATCTAGATCGGGTTCAGGGTTGTACTGGTTTGAGACAAGAGGGTTTACCTTGCTTGGCAGATTCGTCGACCTTCTCCTTCCCTGCATGGGAGAAACAATGTGAAAAAAGGGTGTTTTTTGGCACGGTTTAGCAGATGGTTCAACACGTCACGCCAGTTTTATTGGACACAATGCTCACCTTTCTGCTGTCCCTTCGGTTTTGGGGCAGCCTGCGCCTTCTCGTTGCCACCTTTCCGCGGGGTGCTTTGGCGGACGCTGCCCAGTTTACCGGCAGGTTCTTTCTTGCTGGTACCCACTGGAACCCCTTTGGCGCGGCCACCCTTTCCTCCTCCATCCCCTTTTGCTCCCTGGCTCCCTTGCTTTTTACCAACCCCTTCACTTTCGACCTTCACCTTACGCGCCTTCGGTTTGCCCGATGCTTCGCCGCGCGCAGCGTCAACTGCCCCGCGTTTTCGGGAAGGGCGAGTCCGGCCCCCCTCCTTCCCTGTACCACTCACCCGTCTGCCACGCCCGCCCCGTCCCTTCACTGGCGCCACATCCTCCTCCTCCTCCTCCTCCTCCTCCTCCTCCTCCTCCTCCTCCTCCTCCTCCGCTGCCTCCTCCTCCTCCTCCTCCTCCACATCCTCCTCCTCGTCGTCACCCTGCTCCTCCTCCTCCTCCTCCTCCTCCTCCTCCTCCTCCTCCTCATCCTCCTCCTCCTCCTCCTCCTCCTCTTCGTCCTCCCCGCCATTATTCTCATCTTTTTCATCCTCCCCAACATCCGCGTCATCCTCCTCCGCTTCCTCTTCATCCTCCTCTCCCTCCGCATCCTCCTCCTCATCCTCCTCCTCCTCCGCATCACCGGGGTCTTCATCGCCCCGTTTCGGCTTTGTTCCCGTCGCTGCTTTCTTGCCTCTCCTTCCGCCGGATGCTTTTCTTGCTGCGGGTCGGCCCTTCTGGCGCAATGCTTGACCGCCCGCCTTGCCACTAGCTTCCTTGGCGCCTCGCGGTGTCCCAACTGCCGCGCCACCGGCGTCGTCAGCACTACCTGTCGTCTGCCGCCTCTTCGCCCGCGTAATGAGGTCCCCGGTCACGGCGGTGTCATAATCGTCCTCCCCATCGCTCTTCCTCTGCCTACGCCTCCCCCGTCCACCAGAAGGTGGAGAGCCACCGACCAGCCCCACCGACTCGTGCTCCCCCACCTTGTCCTTATCCAGCACGGCTGCAGAAACTTCGACCACGGTCGGCTGGAGCAGCGTCAGATGGTGTTGCGTTGCCGCCGCCTCGGACTCCTTGGTTGCGGCATGCTCGGCGCGGGGATCGCCTCCGTGATTTCCCTCCGTCGCCGATCCCTCCATCTCCGCCGACGGGAGTGCAAGACTCGCGCTCCCTCGCCCCGGATCTTCGTTGCCGCCAGTGGTGCCGTCTTTACTCGGACCGGGCTTGGTTCCAGCAGAGGCAACATCCGCATCTTTGTTCACCGTAGAAACACGCTTGCGTGGCGTTGGTTTAGGCCCTTTGTCTTCCGCTTTCTTGCCGGCCTCCTGTTGACCGCGCGCGACCTTTTTTGCCGCCGCTTTTTTCTGCCCAAGCCACGAGCGACGGACGCATTAGTTTTTTTAGCGCCGCCACCACACTCCCTATCAATTTGTTTAGACGTCCTCCTTGTCGCGCGGCGGCCGGCCTGTTCCTCCTCCATTGCTTGGTTACGTGTTGCACGTGTCATGGTAATTGTAGGAGGAGCAAAGTTGCAAATCGCGCGGAAGGGTTGAGCCGGTTTCGAAAGGGTTCTGCAACTGAATCCCACGATGGGATTATCGACGGTCTATCACTGTTATGTGTTTCCGAAAACCGCCGCTTCAACTAAATCTGTCATAGTAGCCACTATGCTTCGCGCTAAGGCCGATCTGGAGAGGCGTGTGTCAAGGCAACGAGCAGCGTCAAAGTGTTGGTCCAGGGAGTGACGGAAGCAGGTGGGTGGGACACGAGGGTGGTTGGGGTGGGTTGCGAGACTAGAGAGAGTAATGTAACCCTATCAGGCTATATTGAACGGTGTACGTGTAGCCACCCTAGCATAAACCCACCTACCGCTCGATCTCAGCCGCTCAATGGCTGAAGTACCTCTTGGCTGATGACTGTGTTGGGGGGGGAATCGTTTGAGATGCGTCGGCCAATCACGGTTGCCAACGCATAAATCACTAAATTTTATTCAAACATACAACAATGCATTTCATCAAACTCTACGTTGCAAATGGTTTACCACGGGGTTGGGGTAAGTTAATCGGTGATTCTTACGTCACACACACAACGACCGTCCAAAATTATTACTTGTGACAGATGTACTGTGCACTTTTAGGCTTTGCCACAATGATTTAGGGCCAGCGGACGACATTCTAACACGATTATCAATAGTAACAAACGTGAATCCGTTGTGGTATGGTGTTGGATTGTCATCCATTCTTGCACAGACATTAAACAAGGTGCTTAGAAGGAGTGGTATGAAGCACAGGCCCAACGCACAAGCGTAGATGCGTTATCGACAGCCATGGTTAGACTGTGCGATGATGCAGCGTTCAGGCCTGCGGGTTGCGCGACATGGTGAATCCGTTGTGGTATGGTGTTGCATTGGCATCGATTCTTGCACAGACATTAAACAAGGTGCTTAGAAGGAGTTGTATGAAGCACAGGCCCAACGCACAAGCGTAGATGCGTTATCGACAGCCATGGTTAGACTGTGCGACGATGCAGCGTTCAGGCCTGCGGGTTGCGCGACATGGTGAATCCGTTGTGGTATGGTGTTGCATTGGCATCCATTCTTGCACAGACATTAAACAAGGTGCTTAGAAGGAGTTGTATGAAGCACAGGCCCAACGCACAAGCGTAGATGCGTTATCGACAGCCATGGTTAGACTGTGCGACGATGCAGCGTTCAGGCCTGCGGGTTGCGCGACATGGTGAATCCGTTGTGGTATGGTGTTGCATTGGCAACCATTCTTGCACAGACATTAAACAAGGTGCTTAGAAGGAGTTGTATGAAGCACAGGCCCAACGCACAAGCGTAGATGCGTTATCGACAGCCATGATTAGACCGTGCGACGATGCAGCGTTCAGGCCTGCGGGTTGCGCGACATGGTGAATCCGTTGTGGTATGGTGTTGCATTGGCATCCATTCTTGCACAGACATTAAACAAGGTGCTTAGAAGGAGTTGTATGAAGCACAGGCCCAACGCACAAGCGTAGATGCGTTATCGACAGCCATGGTTAGACTGTGCGACGATGCAGCGTTCAGGCCTGCGGGTTGCGCGACATGGTGAATCCGTTGTGGTATGGTGTTGCATTGTCATCCAACATTGCATGGACATTGAAACCGTTGTGTTATTGTACGACATTGTCATCCATTCTTGCATATTCATTCAGCACGGTGCGTAGAGGTACACTACACCTCGAGAGAAGACACGCTATAGGTATTCGCTCCACGCAACAATCATACGTTAGGGCATGGAGTTATTGGGTACTTCCCGTATCGTTATCAAGTAAGGGTTGTTCAACATCAGTCCTAAGGATATGAATGTTTACTAGTTATGAATGACTTGAGTGTCTTGTTAAGTTGTAATTGTACATTTGCATTTCCATGTTTGTTTGAAGCCTCTTGAGCTCACCTACGTGATTCTGATTTCCCCCCTATATCGATTCGCGACACAATCACAGATCCAAACGGATATCTTCCCGCTCTTCCTCATCCCCCTCGACTCTCACGCACGGTTCCTAAACACAAGTTCTTGACTCAATAGGCACGTCCTTCTCACCGTGCTCGCGACGCACACACACGACCGTGAGACTTAAGATCCTCCGCATTCTCCTCTGCTCATGTCGTGGTCACTCTAAACGGGGGCGACACGCCTTGTAGGGAAGACGGCCCGTGAGGTGGGCGGTCTGTATCGTGCCTGGTAACGACCACGCGGCTCGACATCGTTAGCCAGTCATAAACATTAGCGCCAATGTCAAGTGCCAGTCGTGCAGTGATACAAGCCGCCCACCACAGTGCGCGCATTGGCGATGATCGTGTAGCTGTCACAGGCTTCTTGAACGGAGTACTTAATGCGTTCACAAGCTTCATCACGGCTAGTAGCTTCATAGGCGATTTCTCGACTCTACAACGGATCCGTAACACATGGGCTCTTTACCAGGCGTCGTCTGCGAGTTCTGCAACAGATGGTTCCCCAACGCCCAAGTTTATGGCGGTCATAAGTCACGGCGGACCCCTTGCCAAGGACTATCCGCCGTGGCAAGGCCGACGCGATCTGCACTGACCGCCGGTCTTCACGCTCTGCTATTCGTCCACGACATTCTGTCGGACGCTCCAGCCGCTCCCGGTTCACCTACAGCGTCTAACGCATCCAACGCCGTCAGTGTGAGCGGTCCTCCACGCGTGCCTGAAGCTCACGTTGACGAAACTCCCAACGACGTGAACGAGGGGCCTCCTGAAGATGAACATCAACCACAACCAAGAGCTCCTGCGGCTGACACGAGTGACCATCCTGAGAGCCGGCCCGAAGGGAGTCATGCCGCGCCGCCAACAATCATCTCCGGACAGAGCAATGCCACGCCCCTCAATCCGCTCGCGTTGAAGCTGCTGCATTTCGTTCGGCGCGTGAATGGCGGAATGGGAATGGCCGAGGTTGACATCAACGGCCTGCTTCAGCTAGTCGTAGAGCCCGGCCTTGCGCCTCTTGTGATCTCGGAGCTCCGGAACTGTAAGGATCTGGAGCGGTTCGAGATGGAGCGTTTGGCAGGGCTCAATCGCGGATGGTCGGTGGCGACCTTCGAGATTGACGGTCATCCACCACAGCGCTTGCTCTTTCAGAACTCAGCCCAGGTAAGCCGACTTTGCATTCAAGGCCGTGAAATGATGATGAGGCACACAGGGTTTGCATGTACGTAGTTATCCTTGTATTAACCGTACACCCACCTTCACCGCCACTAACCATGCCTCTCCTCTCACCTGCCTTCGCCACCGTACACCAGGCATTCGCTGAAATGTTTGGACATCCCAACAACGCGCCCGGCTTCAAGCTCAAGGCGCGTGTTGATGAGGACCCTGACGCAGGCGGCCGTCGCTATACCACGCCTGAAACAGGAACGTGGTGGAACGATGCTCAGGTAAGGAAAGACCACGTTGCCACCCCAAACCCAATCCTTCCTCATGCCTCCATCGCTGCACTGATCTGTCAAGAGCATCTTGAGCCCTAAACCGTGTTTCCGTTGCCGCTTTGTCGTGCACTGCAGGAACACTTCGGTTGGTCCGAAGTTGTGGGGGGGATCATCTTATATTCGGATGTGACGCACATGAGCATCAACGGCCGGAAGAAGGCGTGGCCGCTCATGATGACGCTGGCCAACATCTCCCAGGCCAAGCGATGGGGGAAAGCCGGGCACACACTACTTGCCCTCCTTCCTATCCCCCCGTCTGCAATGTCTGCCGTGGAGAAGGTGATGCTCTTCCAGCGTTGCGTCATCACCGTGCTGCAGCCGCTTCTTGATGGCATCGCCAGGTCCGTACTCGGTTTGCATCTTGCTAAGACATCATCTCACCACCTGCATGGTATGCAAACCCTCTCTGTATGTAGCATGGCCCTTTGCCCCTCGTCGTTCCTCCCTAAAAGCCGTAACCCGAATTCCTGTTGCCCCTCTACCTGTTCCTTGCAGCGGGTTCCGTCTCAGGGACCCTTTCGGTGATTGGCAAACCGTGCGGCCCCTGCTGTACGCCTGGGTGTGCGACTACCCCGAGAGCGGCAAGATCAGTTGCACACTCTCGCATGGATCGCGGATGCCGTGCAGCATCTGCTATGCTGCAAAGGTGAGGTCACATGCCATCTGCACGCATTCAAATACATTCTCGTTTGTGGGTCGCCTGATAGAACCCACATAGCTACCACCCTTACCTTTTCTATCCCATCCCTCACCCCCGTGCTACAACAGGAGCATCTGAGTGCTGTCAAGGCACGGAACACGCCGCGCACGCCTGAACAGCAGCAATGGATCGTTAACGAGGCGGCTGGGACGACAACTAGCCAGGCTGACCCGTGCAAGGCCTACTCTACCTACCCTGTTGAGGTGAGTGACCTGTTTCCCCGGCCCATGAGTAGTCTATGCTCTCGCCCGCCCCGTCATGAATTGCCAGATGTGCTCTGCCCCATTGAACTCACCCCACTTGTGGTTTAGGTTAGCTATTCACTCTCACGTACATCTCTCCTCCATTCCCCACCACATCCCCATTTCCAGTGCGTGCTCTGGAAGTGGGATGTCCCAGGGACCGCGTGGGGCAATCCCTACCTCGTGGTGATGCCTGACATCATGC